ATAGATTAGACATTCTCTCGTTCAATGATCCCTCCCTGAGTGGTCGGAAAAGTGTTTCCAACTTTCCGCCATTGCCCATTTTTGTTGCACCGTTCAAGAAAATAATAATTTTTGTATACTTAATTTTTTTTTTTGGTGTTTATTAATTTTGGCAGTGTTTTTTCATCACGTAATAGTGGAGAATTGTACAGTTTTTATAAATCTTTTTTTTTTTATATATATATAAACTGAAGTGTATTCTCAAAAAAATGGAGAACAAGGCACAACAATATGTCTAGAGTTGCATGCATTTATGTTAAAAAAAATCGACGGATTTATCGTTATACTTAGCTAACTGCAGTTTAAGCGTTGCACATAAATTTTTGGGACAAAAAATTGGTTTGTGATGGCACCAAAGTTATGAAAACTGGGTCGGACCAGTTGGACCGGGAATCGGTCCTTGTGAAATAATCGATCAATAATCAAATTTAGACCAGTCAACTATTTTGACTAATGAGACATCCACATGCATATTTTATTTTATATTTTCAGGATCGGGCTTTCTATTCACCTACTTTATCAAGCTAATTGCTATTAGGCTATTATACACTACTATATCGGTAATAACTCTGAAAGTTCTTCACTCCTTAGCATACATAGTTACTTGCTTTTTTAGTGCTTGTTTATTTATGATTTCATTCTTTAAATATTGTTTAGAATAACAGTTAATACTTATCAAACTTTTTAAGGCTCCTAAGATGAATTATTACACAGAAAATGTAAATGAAAAAGCTCAAGAAAATTTGTTTAGCCTGCCGACTTGTAGACACAATATTGCTAGCATGATGGTAACAGTATTATTTGTATGTAGACATGCATGTGTGATGTATCTATGTCATTCGCACGTTGATGAGCCTTTTAGTATAACTATTGAAGCGAGAGAGGGAGAGAGGTATATAATGCACACATACGCACTAAGAATGCCGTCCACCTTCATGTGACTAATCGAATCAACCCAGTAAATAATTAGTTATTAGTTACTTGTCTTTTTAAGTCTTAACCTTCTGCCATAATGCTCCAATCTCACAACTTAAGCAATTAATATTTAGGTATTTAGCGACTTGCATCAGCATCTTTCACGGACCAAATCTGTAATTAGCCCGATATTCAACAATCTGCAGGCTTCAGGCCCACGTGAACAGTCATCTTCAAAGTTGGATTTGGGCCTACAATCGGGTTAACATTAACGGCTCAAATCCGGGTAAAAGTGCGATCTTAATCTCTTTAATCTCCCCGTGTTCTTGCACGAAAATCCTCCTAAGCCCTAATTTCTTCAAATTTCCTCCTTTCGGTGCTAATAATATTTAATCTAACTCTCCCAAAGAATCTCAAAGAAGAACTGATGGCATATCACGCGAGGTTTTCCGTTTCATTTTTATATATTACCTATCATTTTCTATTGTTCTCTGTGTTTCTCATGTGGGCACTGTTGTATCTTCTATGATGTAAATACAATGCTACAGACGCATTGGTGATACCAATTTTTCACAGCATTCACTGAACATGATTTTATTTGCACCTTTTTGGCACCTAACACTATGGCAAAGCGAAAATGTTCTAGCATTTAGCTTCAGAAGTAATGAGTTGTGTAGATTCGTTCTCTTGCTCACGGCAGATACAGTCTAATATAATTATCTACTGAAATGGCGGGAGACTACAATACAACACAATACATTGTTGGCATATAGTTGAAAGATAATGAGATCTTAACTTGTGATGCTATCTAAAGAACTGCGAATATCATGCTTTTGGGTAAATTGCAGAGCAAAAGAACAATATGTACCTTTATGATCTTTACTGCAAAAAGAAATGCAATAAAACCTGCAAAAACAAGGTGGTATATTAAGTTTACACGGCAAATAGATTATATATAATGGCCGATAAATTTAGCTCATGCACAGTAAAGCTCTCACATTTCACACGATAATCGTTCTCCCATCCCTTTCGAAGCTTTGTTCCAAACGCCACATTTTAGGCAATACTCACAAACTCGACATTCACAATATCTGGAAATTTCTCCTTAATGGCTGCTTTAATACCCGACCCAATAGAATTGGGTCCCTCATACTTCACCAGACAATCGCCACCTACAACAGACAATACTTCCACACTCCCACCGAAGTTCTTAATGGCTGGTCTCAAGATGTCCAAATGTCGATTTACTGCCTGCAAGTATCGCAAGCAAGAACGCACGAAAATAAACAAACATGTTCACAAACTTTTTTGCTATGCGATGTGGTAACTAAGTTTAGAAAAGGGGCCGCAAGCAACAAATGTTATCATCAACTTGCCTCAACCGTTGTCTCGGTCACTTGCTCGTCATTTACTTGACATATATCCTTTATGGCATCTCCAAACTTTTCCTTGAGGACTCTTTCGATTCCCATTTTCATTGTGGTTGTTGAACTCGGGCAAGATTCACATGCTCCTGTTCAGTGGAAATACACACAATAAAACCCCCATACAATCCCTAGGATACCATACAACTAAGGTAAATGTCAATGTAAGAAAGATAAGGTTGTGTTTGGTAAACATATAAGCTAGCTTATAACTTATTTGGTTAATTTATATGTTCCCTGCATTCAAGTAAGTTTGGTTTGGTCGGACGGATTTTTCTTTAAATACTCGATCTTATCTCATAAGCTTCCTTATGTAGCTTTTCAAGTAAGTCATTTGATTTTTTTTCAGCTAATTTAACACACACTTTATCATAAAAACTAGTTTTCCAGCCATCAATTATAAGCTCTAACTTCACTCAAAAGCTATAAGTTAGCTTATCAGCTAGGTTTACCAAACAAACATAGTCTCATTTCCAATAGACACAATTTCAATTTATGATTTTCTACTAAGAATAATTCTTCATTTTCATTTCAAACCTTAATATCCATTGAATAATCACATCGACCCAAATCCAACCCATTTCCATATCATTATTGAAGTTCTCTGCAGGTACGAAATACCTAGAAAATCTGCATACGAAACAGTCCATACAGCTCTTTTGGTATGATAAAGATATACATGAGCGCGTGATAATCGGTTTACCTTGGAGCTTGAGCAAAACTACGCCGTTCTCGACGGACACAACGTCGACGTTCCCGCCGTCGGCGATGAGGTAAGGCCGGACGTTTTCGAGAACCTTATCTACGTTCTCTGCGGTAAGCTCGAACTGGTCGGCGGAGTACAATCCGGGAACTGATGCTTTCACTGCAATACATTTCCAGTGATTGAGCTTCAATCCCTTGTAATTTAGGGCTAAAAATGACCGAGATTTAGGGATTTCGATCTTTAGCAATCTCGATGATGGTATAAGGGACAACGCGAAGATGGAGGTAGCCGCCATGGATGCCATCGTGCTCTCGCCTCTAGCTCGGCCGGTCGTGGCCCTCGTGGGATAATTAAAAAAGCCTTGAGGGCTCACGGTGCAAATGCGATGGTTCCAAATTTAAACTGGAGAAATAAATAAATAAATAATCTTATTTCCTAATTTTAAGGACTTCTGTATGAAACTCAAATGATTATTATACTTAGACATGGTCACGGGTCAACCGGCCCGCCGACCCGGCCCAGTCAAAACCGTTGACCACGGGTCCGGACCTGGCTCGGATTTCATCCAGGTCAATCCCGGGTCGGGATATTTTTTACCATAACCCGGCGGGCCGGGCCGAGTCAGGATCGACACGAAAAGAATGTATGGTTTTTGAAATTTTCTTTTTTTTTTCTTTTTTTTTATTGGAACGTGTCCAGACCCGGTCCGGGCCTGGCCCGCCGGGTCATGCACCCAGCACGGACCTAAGCCGTGCCGGTTCAAGGTCCACCAAACTCAACCTTTCGGCCCGGCCCGTCGTGACCCGGCCCGGATTTCGGCCATGTCTAATTATAAAATAATTTTTCTTAAAATTTGATTAAGTTGTATGAATCACATTTCGCATGTATGGGTCATTTATTTATTTTTTTCGCAAATATGTATGGGTCATTTATAATTGAGACTGTTAGAGTTCTCATATTTCAAGTGTAATTGTTATTGAGAGTGGTAGAGTTCTCATATTTCAGGTGTAATTGTTCATGTTTTACGTGTTTTGTTGTTTTGTCGTCTCATATATTTTTTATTGCGGAGATGACTATTCTTTCATCTAAGTGTTGTTCAATCGCATGTATTAATGATGCTCCACCAAATAAAACTCAGTTCAAGCCAAGTGAGCCCGCTAAAACCCCGG